CCTAGGACCATGTAACACTTCTCTACCACTAAACTACACACTCATTTGCGAGTATATATAGATAGCTATCTTTTTATCACCATTTTGTAATTTTGTATTGAATATTTCAACCCCTTAAATTGCATGCCGGGATATAGCTCTACTCACACATTTAACATTTTCAGTGCAAGGTCTAGGTACTTGTTGGTACCAAGAGAAGATTATTATCTGTGGATTTTTTTAGTTGTATACATATGCATTCTATTCATGTGGTTATCTTTCTTTTTTTTAGCATATGTAAGTGAGTCTTTTTTTACGACATTGTATATTGTATAAATTCAGGGCTTGATTGGTAAGGCTCTTTACCGAACGTTTTGTAGGAGGAACTGTTTTTCCGTGAAAAATAGAGGAGCCGTTGTGGCTCTTTTAAAATGACTCTGGCTCCTTAAAAGAGCTCTGCCAAACACCCCTCAATGTATCTAACTCCAGAATATCAAATTATTATTAGCCTCATTACGACCAGACTGAGCATATGCTACGAAAGTCTGAAACTTCCATACATGCATGTAGAAGTAGAACTGAGTGCAAGCAGCCTGATGTGACGTCATGGATTATGTAGTATATGCATAAAGGCGAGTCTTCTCTCGATCATGCATTTTGTGAGATTAAGAAAGAGCATCATGCATGGAGTAGAACACACCTACAGCCTTTTATAATGAGCTCCAGAGATCTGCAAATCTTCCACGATCGAGCCGCAAACAACTTTCTGCATGCTGTGCCACTGTTCTTGATGTTACTTGTAACTTCTTACCTAGCACTAGCAGTACGTAGCAGGTGACGATGGTATGTAGTAGACTAGAGATAGAGAATACTACACCTACGTGCTTAACTAGGTCAAAGATTTACATATATGTCCAATATATAGCCTGAACACTTTTCACTCAAAAATATATATATAGCCTGAACACGTACGTGTAGTAGCTGGTATGCTATACGCTATAAAAACCATGCATTTATATAAGTGAGGACTACTAGAATATGTAAGATGTACCTGGAAACATGTTGGTTAATTATATCAGCAGCTGTTAAATTAAATGTTCACATGACAAATATATTTGTTTGCAGCAATATGTCAATGCTTTAGCCTTTTTAATTAAGCCCATGAGGTCTCTACGATATATGCTGCCGTATATACGGGTCTCTACACTAGGTGGCAGCATGACGTACGTATATATAGCGAGTTCCTGACAAGTGTGCCGTATAATCTTCGACTCTTGCCTACAGATAACAACAGACAATATATATGTATAGGGCTGTTTAATTTACATCGTGTACTAGATAGCTACGGACTTTGTGAGTGCTGTTTTCCTGAACATTGTCTAGTGACAATGGTACATATATATACGTGATGTTATTTTTATTAATTTTTTGGTCAACAGATATACAAGGACCCCTTTGTACGGACAAGTTGATGGTCGTCTGACTTTCAAATGTACTGTTCATCGGGTCTCCGTGGCAGATGCTTATTCATAAGCATTGACATTATGCTATTAATCCTAGTTAGTTGAGCGACTAGGCGTCTGTAATCTCTGAGTAAAAAAATGCACTTCCCCTTAATAGCCAGGGCTAGGTTACTAATTAGGCTGACAAATGCATGGTTTGCTTTTAAGGGCATATTTGGCACAACTTAGTTTCAGCTGGGCTAAATCCGGCTGGAGGAACTCAACCAAATATTTTTTAACATAGAAATAATTATATACTAATTCCATAAATTATTTATTTAAAATAGGCTAGGGGGATGGGAGCTAAAAAAAAATGTAGCTTCTTCTTATTCACTCTATACACGGAATGACTTTTACATAGAGTTTATCCTAAAAATCACTTTTAGCAACAGAATCACTTCTTAAAGAGATTCAGGAGCTAGAGGAGCTCTACCAAATAGGCCCTTAAGTTGGTATTAGGTAATCACACTGGGTCAACAAGATTTAGAGCATTACAAGGCATGTTTGGACTGTTGGATGGTAGTGGGAGAAAGCTGCATGGAAGAGTAGAAAGTGTGTAGGACCAGATGTCAGAACCAAAGAGAGGATTCTTCTTCTCTCTAACTGAAACTTCAGTTATTACAGATCTATTGAAAAAGAATATAGTATATATTATTAAACCAACAATAATAATGTGTCATGTTTAAAAAAAAATCAACAATGTGTCGGGAAAGAGACTTGTGGATGCGAGAAGATCAAAAGATGCAACAAGAGAAGTCGTCAATTGAGGGCACCTTTAGGCTTGAGGGGTTAGGGAGGGTGGGACAGGTGATCCGAAGAAAACCATCTTAATTATGTGTGTGTTTGCGTACATGCATGGGCGTCCAACCAAAGCATTTCATATGCATGCATGGAGAGGCCGGAGAAAATGCATGATTTGATTTGACGGGAGCTGCTCGCTGGCTGCTGACCTTGGAAATAGTCAGTAGTGTATCGTCGGTCCACCTCCATACAGCTCTCTCATACCAAGCAAGACGAAGACAGCCCAAGAAAGCCGTTGAGTTGTTCCTTCACCTTGACTCAAAGCCAACCAGCATCCCAGCTGAGAGCACAAAGTCCAAGGCGCTACGTGACAACTATGCATGAACTCAGCCAATCATTTTATTATTGTATAATTGTGTGTATGCTATTATTCTGCTGGGTCTGTGTGTAGAATGCGAATTTGTCATCTACTAGTATTGCACCACCTAACCAGTAGTACCAGTACCATGCACACGCAATTGCTTCTGAATTCTGGCAGTGTCATACACACACAAATAAGCATACGCGTATATTTCCCTAAGTTACTACAAAATAAATTAATTTTATGAGTTGTTCCAAGTTAAGCTTTCTTAATTAAGTTTGGATGTTTTATACTCATCCATCCGTTCCAAATTATAAGACGTTTTGACTTTCTTAGATACATTGATTTTTCTATATATCTAGATATAATGGATGTCTAAGTTAATAACAAAAGCCAAATATCTAGAAAAACCAAAACATCTTATAATTTAGAATTGAGAGAGGGTAGAAAATAGCACCAGTATTTATTTATGATACCAAATTATAATGATTAGATGCACTATAAAATAATATTTCATTAGTATACACTATAAAATAATTATATATACTATGAAATGTAATCATAGTATATTTATATCCAGTGTCATAGATGTTGCTACCCTTCGCTATAAAGATAGTCAAAGTAAAAAATAATTTGACTTACGGCAACTCTATAAGTTGATTTGTTGATGGACACAGGAAGTATGCCATACCTATCTAGGAGTTCCAATAATCATAGCATTTTATTGTATTATGTTTAAATAAGACATCCTTCAAATTATATCGCTTCGAATTTGGAGCATGGTGGTCAGTCAATGGCAAACTGTGGTTGTGAGATCTGAGGTTTGGTATTAGGATTGGTTTGAGGCTTCCCTTTTTCGGCCTGTTCGCTTGCTCGTATACGATCGTGGATTATAAGCTGGAATAGTATTTTCTCTCACACCAAACCAGCCAGCAGTAAATAATCCACGATCGTTTACGGCCTGCCGAACAAATTGTTTGTCACCGGGTAGAGGGAGAGGTTTGGTATTATTGGGGTTAGCTTGAGGGTTCCCTTCGTCACAGGGACTTAGGGAGATTATGGAAAAAGGATGTAGACTCTACAGGGCTACGAGGTGGTCATAGCCTCATAGGATTGAGTGGTGAGGCCATGGAGAATTGCTGGCAATGGAACTTGGCGGATCGCCGATGGACCGCCACTTGGATACGGGAGCTCGAGATGAAGTGGTTAGCAGCATGGACAACGATGGTGGACCTGACAATGTGTATGCAATCAAGGTTATTTTTCTCGACTTGGTATGTGTGTTTATTTTTCCTAAATTTATTCTACAATTTAACTCGTCGATGACGAATAGTATAGTGACCTTGTCATTCTCAACATATGTTAGTTCAATCTCTCGAAGTTGGGCGCTCGTCAGAAGCGCGTCGTTTGTATGTTTAAACCCTTCTTCTTAATTATAATGATGCGCAAATTTTTTGCGTGTTCGAGAGAAAAAACAGAAGTTACCCGAGAAAACACATGATTTAAGCCAACTGACCTATATAGCGCCGCCCATAGAAAAAGTGTACTTTTGAGATGATCAATTATAACTAAACAGTTTGTTGTTGCAGAGAGGCAGGTGCCAATGAACCTAGGCTTACTTGTTTCATTGGAGCAAGTGAGAATTCTGTGTACTATCATTATAAGCTCGGTTGTAGAATACTAGTATAGGTATAGGTATAGGTATAGCAGAAGGGCATAGAAGCTTCTTGCTTGTGTATGTATTATGGGCACAACTACTATACTACTACTAGTTGTACTCTTTCTGCCTGTACTTGCTCATAACTGTTTGGATTTTGGAGCAAGTCAGCATGAACAAGTAGGGGCGTGTTCGGCTGGCTTTAAGCCGGCTGGCTGGCTGGCTAGCCAACTCACACTCACGAAATCACTGTTCACGTCCTGTCAGAATAGTATTTTTCTCTCACAACAATCAGTCGGAACAATATTTTTCAGTCCTGCTGAACAGACCCTAGAGCTATAGGTAATCATATTACATTATATAGCCCTCACTGGCAGTTTCTTTCAGCACGGCAAGAACCATGCTATACTCTAGCTGACACTAGCCTCTTGCGTGCGTAGACTGACAAGCAAGTCTCATCTCTCCCTGTCTCTCTTGTGCACATACACAAACGGTCACAGGACACACCTCAGCACGCATGGTGAAGGCAAGGCAAACCCATGACGAGACACGCAGGCCACGCGTACACAGCTTAGATAGATAGAGCTAGCTAGGGAACAAAGGTCGCTGCAGGCAGCAGCAGCAGCCAGGCAGTATATAAGCAGCAGGCTGCCCCGTAGCCACCAGTTGCTCGAGGCCAGCATTCGCCGCTCGGGTGGCGTGCTGCTGGTGTCCGGACTCCGGCGTGCAATTAGTTGCATCGGTTGCCGGCCGGTCGGCCATGGGGAGGTCTCCTTGCTGCGACGAGAATGGCCTGAAGAAGGGCCCCTGGACTCAAGAGGAAGATGAGAAGCTGCTGCACTACATCCAGACGAACGGCCATGGCAGCTGGAGGACCCTACCGAGGCTGGCCGGTACATGAATTCGAATTCCCTTCTCCATCATATCGTCTAGCTCTCATATCAATCAGATGATCATATAGGGCTAGCGATTGAGCTGAACAATGATCCTGCTGCTATACCCTGATGGCATGGCATGCAGGTCTGAACCGGTGCGGCAAGAGCTGCCGGCTGCGGTGGACCAACTACCTGCGGCCGGACATCAAGCGGGGCAAGTTCTCGCAGGAGGAGGAGCAGACCATCCTCCACCTGCACTCCGTCCTGGGCAACAAGTGGTCCGCCATCGCCACGCACCTCCCCGGCCGCACCGACAACGAGATCAAGAACTTCTGGAACACGCACCTCAAGAAGCGCCTCATCCAGATGGGCTTCGACCCCATGACGCACCGCCCGCGCACCGACTTCTTCGCCGCGCTCCCGCAGCTCATCGCGCTCGCCGCGCTCCGCGAACAGCTCGGCGGTACCGCCGTCGCCGATCAGTCATCCGGCGCCGGCGCCGCCGGCGTGGCCATCTTCGAACAGGCCGCCAAGCTCCAGTACCTGCAGTCCCTCCTCCAGTCCGCGGCCACCACCATCGCAGCCGCCTCCTCCGCTCCGTCGTCCGACACCGAGGCGGCGGGGGCGGCGGCTCTCGCTCTCGGCGCCATCTGCTCACCGCAACTGACGGCGCTTGACAGTTCTACTACCACTACTGCCCCCGTGTCGTCGTCCGTGGACAACGCCAGCGGCCAGCTATTACCATGCACGTTCCCGGCCGAGGCGCCCGTCAGCAGTGAAGAAGATGAAACCAAAAACCAGCAACAGCAAACAGGCCTCAGCAGCTATGGCCTCAGCTGCCGCGCTGATGATGTCGTTGACGTGTTCGCGTGCCACGGTGGCAACTCATCGCTGCCGGCCCTGACCGACCTCTCCGACGCGGCCAGCAACCTGCCGGTGGACGGTTGCATCATGCGCAGCGCCACGGCCTCTTCCAGCTTCGGTGGCGGCTCCAGCTGCAGCCCGCTCCCTTGGCCGGAGTTGTTCTTCCCAGACGACCCTTTCATCACTGATTTCCTATGACATCACTGCGCATCACACTACATATTTGCTTGTGCAAGCACATCTTGTATACTATACTATATACGCTGATCTATATACGTATCTCCCTCTGAATTTTGTAAGCTTTGCGTACACACATACATATATGTATACATATACGTGCATGCCTTTCAGTACATATATGGAGTACTGTGCTCCATATCATATTCTGATAGCATGACACATTAATTCAAACTTCAGAGTATATAGAATATGTATAAATATAAACACACACTCTGAATATATGCTAGCTAGCTCAGAGACGAGTAGTGTCAAGTGTGCAAGTGAGTCGTTCATGCATGAGAATAATACACATATATACTGCAGTGCTTATATATTGTAAATTTATAATACTGATGGTATATGAAACAAAAATACTAAAAGGATCTTTCTCTGCATTTTCCAAGTTTATGTAAATGCATTGCATATTAGCTGAATGTGTGTGTGTGTGTGTGTATATATCCATGCCTTACACCTTTATTTTTCTGAGCTTTAATAAGAACAGTTGGAAAGTGTGTAGAGGTCGAGTAGTCTGCTGTCTTGGGCGGCTTTTGTTGGCGACCAAACCTCCCCTAACACTGAGACTCCTCGCTAGCTCTCATGTCCTTCACAACATTGCTTTGTCATTGCGTGTCATGTCAAAAAAAAAGGAGGGGGGGCGGGGGGGCTTAAATTGGAAAAGAACCGTGCAAAGTAAATAAAATAAAATCCGTATTGTGATCGACCCTTGGCTTCTCCGTTTTTCCTGGCGAGCAGGTACGAGTTGATTCACTCACTGACGCTACAAGATCGATCGAGCCGGCTGCCGGCCGGCATCTTATATTATTACTGATGAAGAAACTTCACAGTTTCACACTGCCGGTAAGGCCGGGCCTCGGCGGCGACAGCGACGATGACTGAGGTGATCGTCGAGCAACGGCCGGGAGTGAACGAGAAAGCAGCCCGGCCGTGCAACGGAAGGTGGAGTTGGTCGCGGTTGCTAGCTAGGGAAATTTTAGAGCAAAAGCTCATCACGTCGCCCGCACTGTGAAAGAGATGCTCGAGCTGAGACTGATCGCAGTAGTGCAGTGGCGGACCTTGCAGGCTGCAGCAAAGAAAAAAAAAAAAAAAACAAGCGGTGGGGCTCCATTTGCACTACCTGCTGACTTTTTGTACATGGTCGTTTTGTGGGTTTGCATGAGTTGAAGGTATGCTTGGATCATAGGATTTTGTATGGAATCTAGAGTTCCCCGTTCCTCTGCAAACAGTGGTGGAGGAAAGCGGGTCATGGCCTAGATGGTGGTCCATTGTTTCTATATTGTAGCACACCATTCTAAGGGCGTCGCCAGCGGACCGATGATTTCAGCAGCTGACACGGCATCTAAAAAATTAAAGATAAAAAAACAAAAGCTAGATTAGTGATGAGCACCGTGAATTCTGTCCGAGAGAACAGAGACCGTAAATTCTTTGGGAAGGTGTGAGACTAGAGACGAGAGAGTCGCTAGCTACTCATTTTTCAGTCTTATCTTTCCTTCACGTCAGATGAGACATGACGTCAGCTAGCTACGTTGATAGTCCGTTGAGGGCGCCCTAAAGAGGCCCAATCCATATGGCAAAAAATCGGCCTATGGAGCGCTCTAGGTGTTGTGTGATAGTCTACTAGCTTCGCTACCGTCTCAAAATGAACCGCTTAGGCGCATTTAGAACACGGGAACACTCATTTCCATTATGAAGGCATGTGTATTTCAGTACATAAAAGAAATGTCCACTCGAATCCTTTGTGGCTCTTTTGCTCTCTCTCTCTCTCTCTCTCTCTCTCTCTCTCTCAAAAGGGCGCATCACTCGCATCTCTCTAGTCTACTCCCCTTCGGTCCCATTCGACATGGAATCTTGAGCGGACAGCTTGAGCGACAAATGAACAATAGTGCATGGTCTCCGCTTTACAAAATCCCCCTTGCCCCCATCTTTTCCTCCCATATCCATCACAATAGATGTTTCATGTTCATTAGTTCCACAAAAAGTAAAGAGATGTCCCAAAAAAGCATGTGATTTAGTAGACGGTGTACCTAAGCAGTGAGATTAAGTAGATCGGTAAAAAAAATTAGGTCAAATATCATGGTGTCCTACTTTGTCGGGTGCTTTGGCCTCTTATGGCGATGGCATTAATGGTAATAATCAGATGGACCAAATGATCATCTTTTGTGTGGTTATTTCACCATCTGCAACAAGTGTGTCTTCTTCTTTATTTATTGGCTCTGTGGTAAGGTTTGGTGTCTCACACTTTTTCTATTGTGGTAGTGAAATATTGCAAACTTATGTTGCTTAGGATGAATCCTCAATCAATTTTGTTTTAATGGTTTATACATCTCGCTACTAGCAAAGAGTGGCTATTGCAATCTTTAAAGCATTTGTGTGGTGACGGTGTCGGCTGCTCGGCAGGGTACCTCGTTGCCGCTGCCGACAAGGATGGCGGTGTCGATGCGCTGCTCCTGGAGACCGATGAGGCGGGCGACGTTGATGTCGATGATGTTGTGTGTGGCGCCTGTGTCGGCCAGGATGTGGACACCGGTCCCGGACACTACTCCCGTCAAGTACATTGTGGGTGACCTTGGACCGGGGAGTGGTCGGTCCCGACCATCATGAGCAGGCTATTGTCGATGTCGTCGTTGTCATTGTCGTTGTCATAGTCGTTGACAGTTGTGATGTCAAAGAGATGTTTGCACTTGTGGCCACGAGTGAAGGGTTCATCACAGTTGAAGCAGAGTCCCGATCGACGATGTTCCGCCATCTCTTCGGCGGTGAGGCGCTTGAACGGGCATGGTGGAGTAGCCGACGATGACCCCGAAGCAGGTGTCGTAGACGAGGGTGTCGAGGTAGGCGCCTTCAGAGGTAGGGATCATGGTGCCGTCTTTGTTGCTAGTGATTTGTTGGCATCGGAGATCACCGCGAGTCATCGTTCGTATGCCCGAGCAAGGGACATGGTCATTTCCATGTCTTACGGGTTCTGGAGCTCGACGTCCGTCTTCAATGCTTCAAGGTGGCCGACGGTGTAGATGTTCACTTGTTGCTGCTCGTCGAGGGTGTCGGGCCGCGCTACGTGCACCAGGAACCGCTCTGTGTAGTCGTCGACGGTGGTGGTCTTCGCAGGGATGCAAGCTCTCCCAATGGGTTGCGCCATGTCGGTGGTCCAAAGCGCTCGTTGACGCAGCGGGCGAAGTATGCCCAGTCCGTCACCACCTTGTCCTACGTGAGGCACATGTACCACTGTTGTGTTGTTCCTGTCAGATGGTAAGATGCATACCAGACTTGATCGTTCTCCGAGTCTTCTGACCCCTGAAGAACTGCTCACAACGGTTGATCCACGGCAGCGGATCCTCCTTGCCGTCGTATGTGGGGAAGGAGAGCTTGTGGATGCGGGGCGTCAGCATTGGGAAGGATCCTAGTTGTGCTCCCTGGTACAGGTGCGGGGGTGGGTTGTTCGTCTCCGGCGCCTCCTTGAAGACGTCGAAGAGCTTGCTCTCCAAGGCATCAACGATCTCGGGGATCAACTAGGACGATGCCTTCTCTTTCTGTTCCTTGAGGAAGACACGGCCAGCTGTTTCCATGTCCAGCTTGGAGGTGATCACGTTGGAGTTGGGCTGCTGCCGCGGCTTCGTCCGTCTAGCGCCCTTGCTCAATGTTTGTGAGGCGGGTGTTGACGGCGTCGAGCTATTCTTTGAGGGGGTCGATCTTGGCGTTGATGTCTTTGGGGAAGCTGTCGAATAGCTTTTGCAAGTCGTAGGTGTTGATAGTGTTACCCATGGCAGCGGTGTGGGGATCAAAGTGGTCTCCGGATACCAGGATAAGGAGTCTCCTGGTGGAGGTTGGGGCGGCTATGGAGGAGGGTGGTGCGGCTAGGGCTTCGGTGGCGTGGGGTGGGGGCGGCGCGGAGAGAGAGAGAGGGATAGGAAGGAGCAATAGCTCTTCTATTACTTGATTTGATTGATTACATCCCCCTAGTATTTATAGTGCTTATTGGACTTGTATTCCAAGCAACCTACGAGAGATCCTTATAAATTCGATTCTCCCTTCCATAACTAACTAAACTCTAATATGGTAAACTAACCAAACTTTGATATGGTAACTCCTTCTAGAAATGACGGCGGCGGGAGCAGCGAGGCCCCCTCCTGGCACACGCGCATGGCCCCTCTAGGGCGCGCTGGAGGTGCCCGGTGCCCCTCCTTGGGCCTCTCTCAGCCCGTTTGCTCTGGGTTGGGGGGGCATTAGACGTATGACATTTTCGTTTATAATAATTGACTACTGCTGAACTTACAGTAGCTATATGTATAGTTGGTAACTTGTTTTGATGCCTACTTATTCTGCACTGAATTGTCCACATGGATGCCTAGCAAAATATATTTAGAGTTTCTGCATTCTCGTAGTTAGCTTTACAGCTAATTATACGAGTTTATCGAAACTTTCAACCTTTTTATTCAAATTATTATCTCCGGTCAGCTGGTTTACCAGCACCCACACACACTCATGGTTGGAGGTTGAAGAAAGGGTGAGCACAGCAAACACAAGCACTGCACAAGCAAACACTTGCTGGAATTCTGAATGTGATGCAGCTGAACTGCTGCTGGCTGGTGCCTTTACCTTCTATTTATAGGTGATAGAAACTACAGAAAACAGCCCTAGTTGCTTTTCTAGAAATTACCTAAGAGAAAGTTGTCTGCTGAGTCAAGTCTAGTCTACTCTACAGTCCTACTCGGCTGCTAAGCCTTGCTAGGAAATTGCCCTGTAGCTGTAAGGAAAGTGCACTATAGTAGCAAGGAACTTTGTCTGCAATTGCTTGCAGACTTTTCAGGACAGCAGCAGATTGTCTTACAATACTAACATGTTAATTGTAAATATCTTGCTTACTAGATACTACATTTATAACTTTACATTTTATTGCTTTATATTTTTTCTTCAGTCAGCTCAAAAGTCTACTCAAAAGTCTGCTCACAAGAACTCTCTACATA